GACGGTGGTACACCTGGCCGGGAATCAAGCGGGATGTGGCTGATTTGGTAGCAAGGTGCCTTACCTGTCAACAAGTGAAAGCGGAACGACAGATGTCGGGTGGCAAACTACAACCATTGGAAATTCCAGAATGGAAATGGGATTCTATTGCGATGGATTTTGTGGTTGGGCTACCACTTACCCCGAGTAAGAAAAATGCCATCTGGGTGGTTGTGGACCGATTAACGAAATCCGCTCACTTCATCCCTATCAGACAGGAGTACCCGATCGAGCGGTTGGCACAAATATACGTCGATGAGATCATACGGCTGCATGGAGTGCCAAGTGAAATCATATCCGATAGAGATGCTCGATTTACATCTCGTCTATGGAAGGCTATACAGGGAGCTTGGGTACAAAGTTGAAGATGAGCACAGCGTATCACCCACAGACTGACGGGCAGTCAGAACGAACCATCCAAACCTTAGAGGACATGCTCTGAGCATGTGTACTAGAGTGGGGAGTTCTGTGGGATCGGTGCATGACGTTGTGTGAATTCGCATACAACAACAGTCATCACGCGAGTATTGGGGTATCACCGTATGAGGCACTGTACGGAAGGCCATGCAAGACGCCACTATGCTGGACCGAGATCGGCGAACGCAGAACTTTCGGACCTGAAATCATTGAAGAGACGACGGAAGTGATTCGGAAGATTCGCGCTAACCTGAAGACCGCACAAGACAGACAGAAATCTTATGTGGATCAGAGGAGGCGGGACTTCACTTTGGAAGTAGGAGACCAAGCCTTCCTCCGAGTTCAGGCAATGCGAGGGCATGCGAGATTTGGACAAGGTGGGAAACTGAAGCCGAGATACATTGGACCCTACCCGGTGGTTGCAAAAGTGGGAGCTGTAGCGTATCGTCTTGGACTACCATCAGAGTTGGGAAACGTGCATGACATATTCCACGTATCAATGCTACGGAAGTACGTGGCAGATCCTTCCCATGTGATACAACCGCAAGAATTGGAGTTCACCAGCGCTATGCGTTTTCGGGACGAACCACTACAGATCGTGGACCGGAAAGTCAAGAACCTACGAACCAAGGAAATACCGCTCGTCAAAGTGGTATGGAGATCTCAAGGGGTTTCCGACATGACATGGGAACCCGAGGCGGAAATGCGTGATACTTATCCCCATCTGTTTGTTTAAATGTTGTAAACGTCCGAACAAGCGAGACTGTACTGTAATAAACCTTTATGGTATTTAAGGAAGGCTTTCGAATGGATGTTAAGCAATTCAGAATTAGAGGACGAATTCATTTTAAGGGGGGAGGATTTGTAATACCCCGATTCCCGTATAAATTATTTAAATTAACTTCGGGAATAAAATAGGGTAAGACAAGTCTAAAATATAAGGTGATTGGCATAAGAATCGAACCAAGGGATCAACGGGACTCGAACGCATCGAAAACGTCGAAAAAAAAAGTGTTACCAAAAATTTTTTACGAAAAAGACATTACTATGTATGACACTTCAGAATATGTAAAAAAAAAATGATATTAAGAATACAATTAAAGATTTATATACCATAATCTTGGGATCATTTGGTCAGAGAATTGTGCCTTGATGATATCAATACCCACTACTTTTTTTCCAGCAACCTGAAGTAGCACATTGCACAATGATGTTTACATGAGAGAACATAATGATCAGAATAGGAAAAAAATATATCAAAAGCAATATCGGACATTGCATGATAGAGCTGAAGTATATTCATAAGTTCAAGATACATGTTATAGTAAAATATAACATTATCCCTGAACTCTACACTCTCAAATATTGTGGCTTTTGTTCTGCTGGGTGTTGAAGAACACACCTTTATATAGGAAAAAAACATGTGAACATTATATTAATAAATACAATTTAAAGACAGAGAATCTGCAAATACATGCATGATAGTGGAAATGAATATAATTAGGAAAATGAGGGAATTAAATATATTGCGTACATTGAATAGAGGGATTACTCATTCCCAATCTATGTATTTAACTTTTTTGAAATTAGAAAAAATGAGGAGAATTAAATATATTGTGTACATTGAATAGAGAGATTACTCGTTCCCAATCTATATATTTTACTTTTTTGATAAAATTAATTGAATCAACAAAATGTATATTCACCCATATTAATGTGTACATAAATAATTAATTAATTTATAGAGAATTAATTTAGAAATTTACTCAAAGT